CACTAGGAAAAATAATTTAGTGTCTCCAACCAAACCGTTTAGTTAAGGCATTTTTTAACAGCAACCAAATATCTTGTTTTCCATAACAAAATATTTAGTTACTTCTGCTAAATACACTTTTCTGATTTGTTCTGTGGACCAAATGATTTTGTTCTTAGACCTCACATACAACAATTAAGCATTTTAGTTACTTTACCCGCAGAAACTACATAATAATGAAATCTTCTGTTACATAAGTTAAAATAATGCCCAATAAGTACAATTTCGTCTTTCTATGCATTAAAATTTAGATTTTATACACTATTTTATATATTAACAAAACATTATAGTAGTTTTAACAAAACTGCCTTGTTCTTCTAGCCAAATGATTTGGTATATTTTATACACAAGAGCGCCGTGTAGGTACGTGCTGCTGGAAACAAACGGTATCAGATGTGGTTAGCCCGCGTTTCTGCATGCCATTTTGTTTTTCTTCTGGCTCTGCGTGATGCCTATTGTTGTGAGACTTATAAGTGAGACTTATTGTTGTGAGATTCATAACTTCATGTACGTGCAGTGAGATCGTTTCGTGTTTAATGAAAACATCTTCGTAAGTATGAGTTTCATGATAATTACTGGATGCATGTGACATTATCGGTATATCCAAAAGAGTTTATACCGTGTCCTTTGTGAAATTGTTTCTGTTTGAAAAATAGTGCGCTCGTGAAGCAATCCCGGATAGCGACAGCGACAGCGACGCGGCGAGGGGGGCCGCGAGCCCGCGCGATCGTCTTTCGTTTTACCGGCTCGATCGAGACACGATTCTCGCGCGTAAAATTGCGGAGTCGGTCGGAACACGCAAAAGCGACAACACGCGAGATCTGGTCTCTGCTTTCTTTATTCGAGCTTGCGATATCTTATATCAGTCGATACAGTGATCTTTCGTTTCTAAGTACATTCGGCAGTACGATTAAGAACGTTGTTTAATAGTTACGGTGATTAACGTATACGGTAATTAACGTATACGGTGCGCGACATTCGTCGAGCGAACTTAGTGCGGGCCAGCGAGGCTGAGCGAGGCCTCGGCGTTGCAGCCCCACGTCGGGCACCAGCATCTAGGAGACAGGACCTTCCTCGGTGACGGACTCGGACAGAGCATCCCGTGCTAGGATCCCTTGTCGTCATCGTCCTTGACGATCTGGCAACGAACGGTAAATACTCTGTTTATCATCTATCCGATTTATTGGATAAGCGTGTACTCTTTCGCGATAAGTGTGTTTTTTATTAGAGTCATTCTATCGGGCACGCGACGGCTATGGCCGTGTGTTATTGCGCTAGTGTAATTACTTCGTTTTATTGAATATTATCGTGTGTTCCGTCATGACCGGGGCGTCTCGCCGCCTAGACGCGATTCGAAGTTCTTACAATTGTTTACATTCCTCGTCAGGAATTTCACCTCGCCTCGACCGTCGCGTCGGTTACTGGTATTGTGTACAACCGTTGCGCGTGTTCGTATTAGATTTCCCGATTACTTTACATTTTGCGAAATGTAAGCCTTGCGTTGATTCATTTGCGTTATCTTACTTATATTTTACTTCTGGCGTTAATTTAGTTGCATTTATTATTTGCGACGAGTCTTACGTTGACTCACTTATACGTTATATATTATTCGCGTTGCATTTTTTACATTGTAATCATATTGATCCACTTGCGATACATAACTTGCATTTTACTTTTTTATTACGTTACTTTACTTGCGCCCCATTATTCATGTTATCTATCATGCGTCAATTTACTGGCGTTACACATATTACGTGCATTAATTAGCTCGGATTGTAATATCTGGTTTA